TTTGGCTTTTCATATGGACCATACAAATCATTTTTATAAAAATTTTAAATAAATAAAAATAAAAAAATAATAAATATTTATATTCTTTTGAACCAATTAGACTATGCAACAAAACAAAGCATGAATCCGTTTGCCTGTGATACCTTCGAAAAGTTAACCAATTTCAGAATTAAGCATTAATCGAAGCATTAATTTTGTAACACAGTGTTATGGGATACAATCAATTTTAAAATTCTATTCAAATTACAAATTTCTTGGATACTTTAATTACACTGCCATACATTTCTTTCAGTGTCTTCTGGGATCGTAGTTAGTGGCAAAAATCATTCTAATGACAGCAAAACGTAAAAAGCTCTGAAAGTGTTAAGTGGTTCCTCATTAAACTTTATGTACTCTCGGCTCTCCCCGCCGGTTGTTCGCTTCGGTTTGGTTCCGTTCAGCTCAGTCCGCTCCTGTCCCGCTCCTCGAAGTGTATTTGTGTGTGGGGGCGGAGAGTGGTACTCTGGGATGAGGCTTAAACGATTGCCCGACCAGCGTCATTAGCACTTTTAACCGCATATTAAATTTAGTAAAGCCTTGATTAATGGGTTCGCACTTCATTTTTGTGCATTTGACCAGCTTCGAGTTCCTGCTTCCCTATCTGATTCTGTGTCTGGGGCTCTTCCTAACCCACGCGAACGTTCCTGCTACCGAAAATCTTATCTTTCAATGAGTCGCAGAGACAAATGACACGTGATTTTATTTGATTTACTTACATCTGCAGCTCAATTTTCAGTTTGACTTCTGCTAAGTCGAGTATCTCGCTCTCCCGCTTTTTGTCGCTGGCCTTTCTTATGGCCAACAGTTCCAGATACAGTTACAGATACAGTTCCCTGCTTCTTCATTCGGGCCATTATCCGAAATGATTCGATCATTAGCGACTTCGTTCCTGGTCGCAGTCGGGATTGTTGTGTTCTTTCGGCATTACGGGTAATTACTGGAATGTTGTGACAACATTTCCCTGCCTTGTCTTCAAATTACTTAATTTTAATGGCCAGCCATATCGCACGAAAAGATTGAGACGTATAAGGAAATTTATACACTCTGTTGTAGGCGGTAAGCTTCTTTCCTTCCTCATTTTATGAACTCAACAGTTGTCGAGGACAATAGAAATTGAAATCTTAATCCGATCGTATTTAAAAATGCAATGTCTTTTTAAGATAGAGTTATGTAAATAAACCAAGGGAAAATTAGCAAAACGGAGCAAAATTTAATAGTTTTAAAAATATTAATTTAATATTAATTTTTAACTTAAGTCTTCATTTATAGTTTATAGCTTTTTAATAAACATAATAAACATCTCGATATTTAAAACCGGAAATTCTAAAAATTATTAAAAAATTAACGTTTAATCTTAAACCGTATTTAAGTGATTAGTACATCGTGTATTTATCAAGACTATCCTGATGTTTTTATGATTTTTAAAAATTCAAGCCTTGTCAAAGTGTAAATAAATACTTGAAATTTCTTTTATTTTTATTCTTATTTTTCGACCCTTTAATATTCCTCAAATTATTTTTTTGCCGCAGTTACGAATTATTAGTTAGTTTTTCAAAATCATAAGATATCGTTAAATAAGTTTCGTACTATAATTATATATTTGAGGTACTTGACGATTGGTATGTTTTTATGTTGAAAGCGTTGTTCGAGTTTATATAAATTTTACAACTCCCAATATTGTTTCCCATTTCTTATATTTTTTTTATGTTCTACATACTTTGAGAAATGGTTTAAATACTGGATTTTAAAAATGTATGAATATAAGATGTCCACATTAAGAAAATAAAGTGAATAATCTTTTCCGCCTTTTAAAATTGTGATTCGTTCACTTTAATTTGTAAAAGTTGTGTGTTTTAAAAAACTATAGCATTCTGTTAAAAAATGTAGTAAATCCATCCGTTTTCAGCAGTGAATATAACATTTTGCATTAGGATGACTTGTTTGTTTTTATTCCGTTCCGCCGGCGGCAAGTGGCCACCGACTCTTTTAGATCGCCGGCAAATGGTTGCCCCTACAACAAATACATCGCACTCACACTCGCACAACAGCGACAATAGGAGCTGTCAAAACGGCGGCCATATTGAAAGTCAGTCAAGTATTTCGAAAACCGGGGGCGGAGCCAATCGATGCGCATGCGCATGGGGCCAGTGTGGGTGCGAGCGAGGCGACAAGTGTGTGCGTAGAGTGCGTCGCGTTTGGAGCGGCCATGCCACCGTTACTTCTGTAGCGCTGAATTTCTGGGTAAGATGGTGTGGTGCGGTGCGTTTTCCCTTCGACGTCGCATGCGCATCGCACGGCAGAGAAGGAGGAACTGCTCAGGTCCGCTCGAGGGTCCGGGTTTCAGGTCCGGGCCGCGAGTTTTCGAACTCGAATTCGAACGCGAACCCTCGCTGGTGTGGGTGCGCTCTCTGGCTCAGGTAGCTGTCGATGTATTGGTGCCCTGCTGCACTGGTATTGGTGCGATCTTCGAATTTTCGCAGTTCGAAATCATCTTCGAATTCGACTCAAAACCGGACTTGAATTCGGTGTTCGGGGCTTGGACCCATAACTGGTTTGCTCCGGGCCCAGTTTACCTGCCTGCTGTTCGGGCATCTCTGCATCTGTATCCGTATCTCTGCATCTGTGAGTGTACTGGCTCCAAATGCGACTCCAATTTCCCCGGCATAACCACTGCATTCGGTTAGGCGGTTGCCCGAATCGCTTTTTGGGAGTTAATATTCTATTAGGAGCTCATTTGGCTGATTGCCAGCCAGGATGTGTAATGGCTTTTTTGCGCAATTGAATTCGGCACTGGGAACCTCGCAATTGGAGTTTGTTTTCCACTTCTAATTATCGACCAGTCGCCCTTTCAATGATTTATGTGCCTTGATGGATCGATGGATCGATGGCCGATCGATTGATGGATTGTGTGAACCCGGTCTCCGAGCACTTGTCCGCTCGCATCGCGCTGTCTTCATTATTAGCTCGAGTGGATTTCTGACATCTTGCTTTGTTTCCTACAAATTCTCAACCGGTCTCAATTTGCTTTCCGTAATTAATGATTTATCTCAGTTTTCTTGAAGTGTTGTCTTAATTCCAGCGAAGTGATTATTGATAGTTTCTCCATCGCACTCACTCGATCCGAAAGTGTGAGATGTCTCAAGTGACTTGGTATCCATCTCGGATTGGCCCTAGGCAGATGGTTCGATCACCGAATGTTGCAGTTAACATGTTTTCAAATGGCGGAGGTTACTGGTAGATTAAATATCAGAGATGTACATCATTATTTTTGGGCACTTGTTATTAATCGTTTAAGTTATTATTGCCAACTTCAAAAACTTCGTTTTTTTCATCTTTTTAAATGGTTTAATTTGCTTTGGTTTGTTTTACTACTTACTAAAACTCAAGCTTTAAAAATCAAATTATAAATTTTGAAAAGTCATAATGAATGATTTTTAATATCAGAAAAAATAAATAAAGACATAGTATTTTCGGGGTACAAACCTCTTTACATATGATTTGACGAACAATTATCAAGTTCCAATCAAAATAAAAATACAATTTTAAGTTAAATACATTTTAATTAAAGATTTAATAACCAATCTGTAAATTACTTTTATACATTTTAAATAATACAGTGTTAATTAGTTATTATGATAATTATGTTTACTTCAAACTTATTCAATTTTAGATACCAATACTTGTCAATTTTGAAAATGTAATTTAATTATATTTATATTTTACATTTGTTGTTAGCCTCACGATATCATAATCATATTTTGTCAAATATATATAATAGCAGTATGAATAATTTAGCCGAAATTACAAAATCGAAAATATCTGTGTAATACGCCATTCAACTTATTGTTGTTAACCTCTCATTCTGCCAAACTTATATCTTTATGCTAGCAGTATGGATAATTTAGCCGAAATTACAAAACTGTCCCTCGAAAATATCTCTGTAATAAGCCATTCAAATCATTATCACACCCCATCGAATATGAGATTCACAGCATAACTATGTACACTTTCAAAGATACATATCTGTATTTAGCGGACTAGGTAGGATTCATAATGAAATTTCTATTTGAGGGCCAAGTAGGAACCATTTTAATTAACTTCAGCAGACCGAAAACCAAATAGGAACTGAAACTTGGCAGAAAATCTTGTGGGAATGGATGCGTCCTCTCGATGTCGCTGATTCGGCCATGGAAATGGAATATTCACGTTCGCATCCGTGAGTCCAAATTGGCAGCTGCTCAACTCTTAGGCTATTTATGTCAACTAGGGATGCGTTGTGATTGCGGCAAACACCTCGGCGAGAATGCTAACATCTATTGCGCTGCCAATGCTGGCTGGGCAGTTTCAAAACTCAAAATTCTGCCTGAATTATTCATGTGATTCTGTGACATAAACGTGAGCACATTCACTGAATTTCGCGATTACAAATGGGAGGCGATTATGCGAACAATGAGAATTCAATTTGTTTGAGCTCCTGACTCAGGTTGAGCCGAGTTGAGGCGAGTTTATGCGGGTGGAGCAGCTGCTGATCGTGGTCTTTAGGTCCGGGGCTCAGGTGTCTGGGTTGGCCATTGGACAGTGCTTTGTTAATGCCACTTGATTAATCGCTTATTATGATGTCAGATTAATAAGATCGTTTTCAAAAATGGTCCGCGTTCGAGGCCTGCAAAATATTCGAATGTTTAGTGTACGATTCCACGTGAAATTGTTATATCAACTCAGTGCTTACCCTCTGACATAATCACTGGCCTTAGGAAATATCCGCTCATGCCATCATTGTGCTGTGGAAGTCACTGAAAGTACAGGGAATTATTAAGTAAATATTTAAATAGTTAACTCTTACTCTTGACACGCTTACCTTGCCACTCAGAAGCTAAATTCATCTATGACCCACTATTAGGAAACACCATGCCAATAAAAGCCGCTTCGGATTAAATTTTTAAATACTATATTTTTATTATAAATATTACAAATAAAAACAAAATCTCATTTGTAATTTAATTATAATTTTCTTTATGCTTTTTGCTTTGCCTTGCAGCCCTTCCGCTGCATTCTTCATTCATCTTGTTTACACTAAAGTTTAAATTTTATTTACAACAAATTGTTTAGCTTCCACATTTCGTTTCAATTTCGCACAAATGTTTGAGTGTATTTAATGTTTTTGTTTTGTTTCAAATATATATATTTTTATCAACGCTTTCGAATTTTGTTTCTTGTGAATTTCTACATTCTATATTTTTTTTCAAATTTTTTTTTTTAATTTTCTGAATTGAAACTTAAGTATTTAGTTTCTTACAGAATGAGGCCGAAAGTTACGTATCTGGATTGAGTTGAATTTAGCTCTCAAGGATGTTTTAGCCAATACTTTGTAAAGTTTGTTTTCGATTTCTTTTGACTATTTTCTTCTATTGCAAATCACAAATCCTTTCACCTGGGATTGGGAATCGGGTTGGGAGGGGAAGGGAGTTTACTGGGGAATTTACAAACGAAACGCTCTATAAAGTTACATGTTTTATATTAGGCTTGTTTAATTATATATATCTACATATAAACATATGATGCTTTATAGTTTTCCTTCCCGTCCTTCATTCTCTTTCTCCTTCGTTCCTTTGACTTTGGTATATGGATTTCCACAGATGGCGTGGAAATTGAGTTTGAGTTACGTACATACATTTAAATAGTTGTTAGGCGAATATTCATATAGAAATCGTTCGGTTCTGCTTTCAAAAGGGATTCTCTACATACTCGTATAATAATGCATTTCAATTTACTACTTTACAGGGTTTTTGTTTGAATTCATTATTTATACATTTTTTTGTGTTCCTCTGTTAACAATTTATATTCCTCCACTCCACTTGCCAATTCATATTTTTATTCATTTCGGTATACTTTATATCCTTTTCGACCTAATTCGAATTTAATTTTTTGCGAGAACTAAAAATTGCACAAGAAATTAAAAATAAAAGAAAATACAGATATAATGGATCTTGTAACCGAAAATTGAGGAACTCTCAAATTGGTTAGGCTTAAATTTCCAACTGCGAGTTTTAAAATGTTTTATTTGCAGAATTTGTACATCTATTATTTTAAAGTTTGCCAATCTTTTGCGATTCCTTTCTATTCATATTTAAGCTTCTGCCAGTTAATTGGATTTATTTTGTATTGTATGTGTAAAACGTTTTATTTACTTTAAGCAACGTTTCTCCGTGGTTTTGGTATTTCTTTGTCTAAATTTGCGACATTCACTTAGGGCAAAGTTTTCTATTATCATGTTCAGTGTTATGAAATATTTATGGGTTTCTTGAACCAACATGCAATGGATTTTGACGCCATTTGGTTTTTTTTAGATTTTTATTGGTTTTTATTTTATACTTTTGCGCTAGGATTGCTACAAACATTGATTTAGTTTAATGTTTATGTTTTAGGTTTAGGGTTTATGCTGGGGTGTATATATAAGTTAATCGTACAGTACTTATGACGCGTAGAACTAATGTTATCGTGTATATAGTATATATGCTTCATATATATTTATTAATATATAACTCCTTGCCTTTAGCTTTACTTGGTATCATGTATAGTTATCCATATATTTATGTGTATATATATGCATTATAGTTAAATATAGCTTATTTAGATCTGAGGTCACATGAGTTGGTTTTGTTTGAGTTTTACGCTTTACTTGTATCTTTATCGTAATCGTTATCTTTACGTTTATCTTATTTCGCTTTCTCCACTCGCCATTCGTGTACAATTAAATAATAAGTAGAAAATAATAACAATTAACTAAGTTGTAGGTAGAGTTCTCAGCTCTGCTCTTTGTTTAGTTTAGTTCACGCGAAGTTCAACGGATTGGATAGGTAATAGATAGTCCTCTGGGATCGAAGTAAATTCATTTGCGCTCTCCGAACTAACGTAAATTGTATTTAGATAGAAATTTCATTTAACTGGTGAGCCTGCGTCGGACTCAGTCTACTGCGGACTGTTGGGTGGCGTTATCTCGTCGCCCTCGCCTCCGGATCCCGGCTCGCCCTTCGTCTTGTTCTCCTTCTTCCACTTCATGCGCCGGTTCTGGAACCATATCTTTATCTGGCGCTCCGTGAGGCACAGGGCATGGGCGATCTCGATCCTTCGCCGACGGGTCAAGTAGCGATTGAAGTGGAACTCCTTCTCCAGCTCCAGAGTCTGGTACCGGGTGTACGTCTGCCTTCCGCGCTTGCGTTCTGTTGGATCCAAATAAATAAAACAATGTTCACAATTAAAATCAATGCAACGCTTGACCGGCCACCAAATCAACAACAACAAATTCTACTACATCTACAGGTCCACTACAATGCATACAACACCAAGATCTCGAATACTTAAATATATTTCTGATGCTTTGTGTCTTTTTGTTTTTCTCTCCTGGGGAATCGGATGAGGGCTGAGGGATCGGTAATCGGGGGAACTCAAAACCACATGAAGCAAGGCGCTGGGACTCTGAAACTGAGGCTGATTAAAAGACAACCTTACCGAATTCGGATATTTGTACTTGTCAAAAAAAGAGAAAAAACAGGGTCCACACAACAGGTCTGTGACGAGGGGCGGATGCAAAGGGGTCTCCCCTCTCAGTCAGCCATCCCGATAGGAACTCTGGGTTTAATTTTCAAGGCATACCCTTTTAAGGGGCAATACGACTTACGGAGAGGTCTAATGAAAGGATTTTGAAGGTATTTTAACACTATTAAAATGTATTAAGTTCTTTAACTACGTATCAATAATTTCATTGCATACTATATATATAAATTCTTCAAAACTCACTTAAAAAAAATAACATCTTCTTTAAAATAAAACCAAAATATAATGCCTTACTGAAGATTTTACCATTTTATATTTTAGCCTCCATATTACACGTAAGAGCATCCAGCTTATGCTTTGCACCCACATTTTATTTTTACTTGTGGATTAAACTCGGCGGAGATTTCATGGACATCAAGCGGCGAGCAGACAAGGTAACTAATTATGCCCCAATGCGGTCTGTCCGTTCATCTGTCCGTCCGTATCTTTGTCCGTAAAGCGGAGAGGTATCATGCCTGTGATTCAGGCAAGTGCAGTTCACCTTCGATCCCCGCTTCTGTCCCCGAACTCCTCCCCCTTTGGACGGTAGCAGGGCATAACTGTAAAATAATTCGGCATAATTACGAAGGCTACCGCCTCCCCCTCGAAACCGCTCCATTTCGAAAGCAACCAACCAAATGAGTTCGGCGCCTAATGACACTTACTATAATTATAATTTCGGTAATGACAAAAAAAGAGCACAGTGAAAATGTCGGGAAAAAATATGTCAAATATAATACGCAGCAGCAAATATTATAATTGTCAATGGCCAAGGCAGGTAATTGAAATGGGTTGCTAGCGTGAGAAGCCATTTTCGGGTGGAGTTTTCCCGGCTACTTCTTGAGTGGTTTTCTCTGTTTTTTTTAGGGTTTGGAAAATGTCCGGCCGGAAATTGGAAGGCGGCCACAGCAGCATTGGCATTGCGGTGGCTTTTGACCAACCACGCCAAGCGGCAATCAGTGGAAGGCCCCTCACCCCCAATCCCCAACCCCCGAGGTGGGCTGTCTTAACTATTTTTTAATAACATCTTCAACATTTGTCTTGCTCAACTCGCTCGTCCAATTTTTTCTTTTTAAATATTTCACGTATTTTTTGTGCCTTCCATCTCTGGCTCGAGGTCATTACATCATAAGCTCTTTTATGTATTTTTTCTCGAAGTTTTTTTTGTACTTTTTGCGGCATCCATTAAGGCGCGCGAATCCGAATCGTATAGAACCGCCGAGGGGGTGGCTACATAGAGAGGGGGGCAGCACAGCGGTGGTCAGAGCAGCTACCTTCTTTTAAATGACACGGCTGATGCCATGTCTATAACCCGAGGCGTTCGCATTTAATCATCATCAGTTAGACGAGTCGCTGCGCCGGCAAAAAATCTTGAAAGATTTGTGGCAAAAAGCGTGCGTAGTCATCCCCCTCGGAATCCGCACCCATCCTTCGGCAGTCTGCGAAGAATCCATGGGGGGAAGTCCAAAGAGTTGAGTATTAGGAGCGGATTAAGAGCGGAATAAATTGGCTGGACTTTCACCCGAGATGATGGAAAACAAAAAGGGAAGAGGTACTAGGGTGTAGGAATTTTTTAAATATAGTTCTAAAGAGGTGTTTAAATTCCGGAGAAGTCGTTTCAAATGCATAAGTAATTGAAACTCAAAACAAACTAAAAAAGGTCCGGTCATTATCACTCATTTTTCAAATCAAATACACCATTTTTTCTGTAGTTCCCATCTGATTACTATCCCATTCTTTCTCTGGTACACATACAGCACATTTCCATTTCCATTTGCATTTCCACTCCCCTTTGACGTAACAGAAGCTTTTGCTGATAATTAGCAACACAAAGCTGTATGCCTGCCCTCATGCATTGCAAATAAATGATTATTTTAATTGACGAAAACACCTACAAGTTGTGCATTCAAGACTGGGATCTCTCTGGAAAGTAAACATAGTTTAGGGGGGCGAAGTCTTCGAGGGGCCAGAGTGAACGGCTGGAGGGGCGTGCATTGGCAATTTAAGAGCGGGCGCTCTCTGAAATTCGTTTTTAATGATGCCTTTGCACATTTCATGTTGCCATCACTCAAAAACAAAAGAAACTAAGGAAAAAATACTTGTTTTCCTTAGATACTTTCAAGGCGTGCGTTGATCAGTTGGGGCGCCCTTCTCTGGACAGGAGCTTCGAATTGAGCGCTGAGAAATTATTATAAACGCATTAATGGCGCTTTGAAGAAAGGAAGCGAAGGGCAGGGGGAAAATGGAGCCCAAGGTAGAGGTATCAACAACAGAAATATAATAAAGGTGAAACAATTAATATGAAAAAGAGTAGCGATACATGTGAAGTACCAAAGGCAAAACCTCCGAGGTTCTCCGCTCCCCTGCCACGCCCCCGCCCTGCCGCCGCTTCCCCCGCCCCTCTGCCGCCCATACATCTAAAGTGGCTGAGTGGTTGACTGACGTACCGAGTGGACCGGGGGCATTAATGCTTTTTGATATGAAAGCGTATTGTAATTAAATTGCGATTAGGCCACCATTTTAACCATTTTACTCGTTTATTACACTGCTCCGGCTCCATAATGGATTTTATTTCATTTTCTTCCCCTTCCCCTCCCCCTACCCCTTGCCCACTCCCCGCACACACAATTACATTAGTGCTATTGGCTGTATGTGTGTCGGTTAACGTTTAAAGGAAATCATTAAAATAATTGCTAACAACATTTTATGGAATTCGTTGAAGCAGGAAAAAATTAAAAAGCATTATTTAATAGCTCGAAAAAAATTCTATATTATAATGCCCATAATGAATTATTATATTGGCAGAGATTGCTTTTTCATCACACTCGAGACCCGTCGAGCGGAACTAAAACAATGGCCAGCATCGTACGACGAAATCAAGAAAATGGGAAATTGACTTCTAGAGGGGAGATCTTGAACATAATGGTATACCTGGTGACTAACTAACTGACTCAATAAGTAAATCTTTATGCCAAAATAAATGTTTCTTTAATTGTAACGCACTTTCCCGTCAATCTCCATTCACAATGCCTTTTTCTAGGCAAAATTGAATGGCTTAACTGCGGATAACCTCCAAAATTTATGACTTGGCCCCCGGTTAAGGCTATATCCATTCCCAGCTGCAGCTGGGTGGTCGCCACAGCAGCCTCCGTTTCTTGGCCAAAAAGCCGCTCGTCATGCAACAAATACAAAAATGCATTTAGCAGCAAACAAAACGAAACGTAAACAAGTACAAGCCAGCGAGCAAAAAAAGCTCACATCAAATGCGAGTAAATGTTTTTTTAATTGCGGAAATTACAGACAAACGCAGGCCGCCGCAACAAAAGCTGCAAAATTATTATTATTTATGATCGTAAGTTGATAAATTTTTCATCCAGCTGAAGAGTGTTCGTGTGTGGCATTTTGTAGAAAAACGGACACAAATACCGCTGGTTGATGTCACTTTATTCTCTGCGCTGTTCTGGTGTGAATCTGCCAACTCATTCGATGACTTCGTGCTAAATAAACAGTGGGTTGAGGGAGGGGGCGGAGAGGAAATTGAAGTGGGTGCTCTTTTTCGACCAAAAAGTTTTCCTCCCATTTGATTGTTTTGCATATTTGACGTATTTTTGCCGTCGCAAACTTTCCATTTGGTGTTTTCGCAACCTTTGGGGAGTTGGCCGAAAATGGAACAAAAAGGAGCAGGAATGAATGTAGCCCGAAATCCTTCTGAGGTTTCATGTCTTTGACTGCTCGGCCAGCCATTTCTCTTTTTTCCCCTTTTTTTTTAATTAAGTCCAAGAATTTTCGTTTTCATTTTCCGAGGTAAGAGTAACAATTAAATATTGCCATTGACCATTTGATCATTTGTAAGCAGTTTTTTTTTTAATTTTCATCTGGTTGCCCTTTTCCATCTGGCTATAATCTCGGGAGACTCGACAGCGTTTTTAATTTGGGACTTGTTAAGCACTTAAGAGGGTTAAAAATCGACAAGAGTTGACAAAAAATGGAGCCCAAAAAATCAGAGAAAAGAAGAGCGGAAAGGATCGCCAAGGAGTTGACTTGGGGCTTATAAATGCATTCATTTTAAGGAATGGAAGAAGGGGACTTTAAACTTTATTTAGTTATCGCTTAAACAAAAGCAAAACGCGAACCCGAGGGGAACAAGAGGAAAACTATGCGCGCCATCTAATTGTTGTTGCGGGCTCTTCTTTCTTTCGGTCGCTTCGCTTTCTTACCACCGTTTTGGTGCTCTACACTTGGAAAATCGTTACGAAAAAAGTGGTCTTAAAATTTTAAAATAATAAGCGTAGATAACTAATTTTAGAATACGAATAAGAAAATACTTTTGATCTCCAATAAATTAAAATCAAATGAGGAAAATTAAATTTTTTTATAATAAATAGATTAATGCTCGAAAAGTCACTCTGGGTTAAAGGAAATTGTTTTAGAAATATGTTTTTCCCGTACTTAAAATTAAAGTGATAATTTTTGGGTCTCAATAATTTAAAGTTTGTTTGTGAACTTCTTTTATTTTATGTTTTTACATATATTCATTTTATTTTACCATACTGTAAGTGATGTTGGAAACTAACTAATCAACTTCACACACTTCACTACACTTTTTTCCCCAGTGCATGCCCTCCAT